TCTATATTTAATATATTAACCTCTTATGGTAAGAGCACTTATCATGAGATCTATTCTCATTGCATACTCAAAGCATGCTATACTAGATTGCTAACTAGGTCCTGGGTTGGAGAACACATCCTCAGAACTTATTCGTTCTTCATAACTGGCCAACAAACACCTTTTCAGTGTGTTTGTTCAGCTTCAGCTCAGTAGCAGAAACTACCATGCGAAGCTCGAGTTCAAAGAATTTGACTGTTTTAAGTGACTCAAACACGTGAAATGGCCAAGTCTGTGTAACTAAGTAGTATTTCAGTAATTCTAAATAATGTTTTAGAAACAGATTCCCAGGAATTTATTAGTGTTAATGAGTCAGTAATGTGCAAATTCATGTATATGCCTATATGTGTGAAGTTCACAAGTTCTGAAAATATTTAGCATACTAATTATTGTGATACACGGGTCCTAAAATGCAAAGTGATTATTCTTATTATATCTGACACACCTATGAACTGTTATGAATGTTAACATTTTCTTTTTTTCCTATATCTTCCATTTTTCAAATCAGCCCTTATATGCTAGTTTTAAGCATAAAGTACAGAAAGCAAAAACCTTGAACAATTTTCCTTGTTCCAAAACCTCTGCACATAGTTCCCTGATTACATGTTTCATTTCACGTGCCTTTATTAATTTGTGTTATTGCTAAAAGCAATAAATAACATGTATGGATTAGAATAATGTTTGTGTGTATTAATTTTGAGAAAATTATTTTCAGTTTTTTTTCTAGAAATTTCTATGGTGACATGGTAATTATTTTCACGACTTTTTCAGTGAAATATGAGGTTTTTCTAATATCAGACCATAATCATGTAGTAATGAATTCTGAGAGAGAGAAGAAGCTCTTGTTTAAAAGTGACCTGATTTGTAGGATTTCCAAAAGCGGTATTAAAAGAGAAAGGCAAGATTTAAATAAGCCATCATTATCATCATCATTTTTAATCATCAAATATTTATTGATACTTGTCCTTTGCCCACAGCTCTAAGACTACTCTAATAAATTTTTAAAATTTCTGTCCACTCCTAGGATTTTTATAGACAAAGCATCAGTTATAGTTCTCTGACAACATTTGAAAATAAAAATGGGTCACATAACATTCTCATAAAAGCCAAATAATTAGAATATTAGTGAAATAGCTATTAATTAAATGGTTAATTCATAATTCTTTCATCCAATGCTTAAAACAGCTAGTACCGTTCACTGCCAATTTTTGTTATATTTTACTAATAAATGCAATTTATTTACTTTAAGCTTTTTATTATTCTAAGTATTTATTATTTTATTATGTTTTATTAAAACTTTACAAACCTTTCCTATAAAAAATTTAATTTTAAAACTTTTTTTTTTTTTTTTTTTTTTTTTTGCTTTTTGTCAATTTCATATATGTGTATGCCATACTGATGATCCCCTCTGCTCAACCTCTCTCGTGTCTTTGTCTTCCCAACTAACCTTCCCTCAGTTCCATCAATCCCTTTCCCACATTCACAACTTCTGGTTTTGCTCTGTGACCCATTGAGCTTAATCAGGACCATCTGTGCCAATGTTGAACCAGAACTATCCACGGGAGCTTGGCAGAGTCCTTGTGGGTATACTACTAAAGTCTCTGTGTTCTGCGCTCCCTGAATCTAAACATAGTAAAGAGTTAAAGAGTGAGAGTTAGGGCCTCTTGAACTGCACTGCTACCCATTGCTGGCCATTGACGGAAGGCATCCCCAGATACTGTGAGTCTGAGATTAGAACAGCCGTGTCTTGCCAAAAAGTTGATATTTCTCAGCCCTTCTCCTTATCCACCAACTCTTAACTTTCTGCCACTCCTGTGCCCTGTAACATTTCCTAAGACTTTGGGGACTGTGGTGTAAACGGCTTATTTAGGGCTGAGCAGTTGACTCACACTTATTCTCACTCAGCACCTTGTACATCTATGAGCCTCTGTATTAATTATAGTTTTCAGAGAGGCTCTCTGTACAGGGTTGAGAGAAGCATTTGTCTATGAATATGAAAAACAGATATAGAAGGCAACCTAGAAGGTCAATTTAACGTACCAACAATACTCAGTTCACATCTATGGACTAACTCTGTACTCCAATGAATTTCTGACTCAGTTTAAAGTACCAAGTATGGACTCCCCCTGGTGGAGAAAGTCTCAGATCCAATCAGAGAGCAGTGTTCTACCCAAGAACATCAATGGCAGCTCTGTGGTAGTGCCACATGCCTTTAATCCCAGCACCCAAGAGTCAGAAGCAGATGAATCTCCGAGTTCAAGGCCAGCCTGGTCTACTAAGTGAATTCCAGGACAGCAAGGGCTAAACAGAGAAATTATGTCTCTAAAAAAACCAAACAAAAGATAGTGTCAAGATGACACCAATGTGCAATCTCATCTGGTAGCTTGGTCTCATAGACGGTAAGATTCATGGCTGCTAAGACTAATGATGCTTTTCTCACCCATTATTGTATATTCTGGGACTACAAAAGTGACCCAGCGGTGAGGAAGCCTTTGGTCAAGCAAGAGCACTAGTGTCTGTGATTCTCCTTCTGTCACTTATTATAAACCCCACAGGTGTATTTCCTCTGCATTCTTCTTTAATAATTACATCTGAGATATATGGCCCAAGCACAAAACTAGCTTATACAACTGTCTGAAGGTGCTAAAGAGTCCAATAAATTTTTACCCATTGTTTCCCTCTATCTCACTCTGCCACATCTTTCTCACTTTTCTTTCAGCATTAACAATGTAGATAATTTAGACAGCTCATTCATGTTCTACAGCTTGAGATATCCCATCTGCCTCCTAATCCTCCTCCTCCATTACTTTACATTGGAGTAATTTGCATAGACATCAAGTTCATAGATTCCTTTCTCTATTATGCTAAGTCCATTGGTAATTGACTAAATGGATTCTTCATTTGTGTTTCCTTGATTGCATTGCTATTCCTGTAGCATCTGCATTTCTTTTCATATTCTCCATTGTCTAATCTACCCATACACACCTACCTGTATTTTTCACATTTCAACTGTGTTGTAAACATTTTGATTTTTTTTTTATTAGTTTTGGTGTTTGTTTTGGGGCAACTTGTAAGAGTCAAAACAGTTCTCCATGAGGAGGATCCTGAGGATCAAACTTAGCTTATCAAAGTTGTCAATAAATAATAATTTTAAAGACAGTTTCTGAAAATTTCAACCTCTTTCTCCTATTTAAATCATAATCTATCAATGGATTATTTTATTTTTGTATATTTTATACTGTTAGTGATTATGAGAAAACCACTTGGTGTTGGCTTCATTTACCTTATTCCCAAAAAGCAACAGGAGCCCCACTCCCCGACTTCCACCGCCCTGGCTTCATTGATGTGAAGCAAAAAACAAACAAACAAACAAACAAACAAACAAAAAACAAAAAACAAAAAACAAAACAAAACAAAACAAAAAAAACCCAGACAGCCTGCCCCAGTTGAAAAACCACAAACCGAACCTTATCCTCACCACTAAACAAGCAGCTGCTTCTTGTCTCTGTCCACATGGGATGCTTCAGGTAGTCTACTGGAAAGTAATGTGGCCTGTGACAGCAAAACCTTCATGCTAGACTGCTGGGAAAAACATTTGGCCACTTCCCTCATGTTACGACACATTTTCCATAACGGCCTAGAACCAGAATGTATGAATGGAAGCTTGCTGTGAACTACACCAGACTAGATTGCTTCTCCCTAACCACAGCTCTGCAGTTACCCATTGCACTTCAGCAAAACAAGGGAATGGCACTTTTGCCCCTGTGGAGGATATGCTGGCATAAGCCTCTTTATGTTTTCCCTTTCCTCACTTGGGATGGTGCTACATCAAGT